ACTCCTACAATGGCCCCTACCCATCGTTATTGAGACAATTTCTTATCGACTGGGAGATCGAAAACTACGGATATTCTTCCCGATGGATTTTACGGTACGGAAAAGCGGTGCAACAACGCAACGGTTATGATTGCGGACCGTTANATGGATTTTACGGTACGGAAAAGCGGTGCAACAACGCAACGATTATGATTGCGGACCGTTCTCTTTGGAGCTGGCCGAGAGGATGTCCAGAGACGACGACACACCGATCAACCCCTTCACAATGCCTTTTATCCGGTTGAGGCATAAGTATGAACTAGAAGCCGGCACGTTGTTCCAATTTTGACGTATATTTTTGATTGTCAAGATTCAATTTTACCGATCACCTCCTTATTTGACCTCCGTTAAACGACCTACTCGTCAATATTCATTAAAACATGTAATATTCACCTTATAACTCCAATTCTCTGCCCCAGTCGCTGTACTTACAATTAGAACTATCGTGTTTAATTGTAGTACGCTCTGGGGAGGGCTTTTTTCCATTGAAAACGCGTTTTTTACGATATTCAATATGCAACGTTGAGTTTCTAATATCGTATTAACATCGATTCGATGTTTTTCGATTTCGTGAGAAATATTATATTTTTTGTACTTTTTTTATTCAATTTTCGTACTATAATTAATTTTATGATAGTAATTCTTTTGTATTTACAAACAATTTTATTTATTATTTTTGTTATTTTATATATATATTGGGGTTGAAATTTTTTTTAAGTTTTCTTGTGTAGAATTTTTTCTTTTTAATTTGAACTCTTATCGATTGTATATTTAAGATGTGATTTATTATTATCAATTTTTGTATATAATTTTTTAAATAAAACTATTATAATGACTATAACTAATAATAAGTTTAGATATAATTTTTTGGATAACCAAACTGTGTAACTTCAATATTCCATTGGTATAATAAATGTGCCTTTTACATAAAATAATATTAATTGCAATTCAATACTCAAGTAAAGCCGCCAAATGAGATTATTGTTTTCTAAATATTGATAATATATTCGAAAAAATGTATAAACTTCTAAAAAGTATTGTTGCTGCCAAGCGTGTAGTGTAAAAATTTGCAGTTTTAAATAATTATATTGTTATTTTTCTTGTTAAGCGCACTGGCAAGTAGAATTTTCAGCCACAATATAAAATTTTCAACACTCTTAAATTTCTCTTTGAAACAACGATATCTTAATTGTTTAAAAGTAGGGGATGTTATTAATGAAATATATATTAGTTTGTTGATAACATTTCGGAATAAATTTAATAGAAATACGACGCAGTCGAATTACCTTTTCAAACATGCGCATGGACTTTAAAAAAATGTTAGCTCACTTTTGATCAGATAATAAAATATTTTAACAGCTATTACATTTGACCAGATCTGTAGACGATTTTATGTACTTTATTTCGCATATAAAAATTATATTATTCTAAATAATAAATTATATTTATGATTTCACATAGCATGAATGACGTTTTTCCTCTTATAGAGTACATTACTCAAAAAAAACATTCATGTAATGAATCTAGTAATTATTTCAGCTGAAAATTTCTCTGTGTAATTATTACATTTAAATGTAATTTATTTTTAAATCATTCATTAATAAAGTGAAATTTTTTATACTACAAAAATGATTTTTTAGAGAAAAACCATGTGTTCCTGTTGTTAGGTGTACAGAGAAATACAAAGTTAAACCTTTTAAAAGGAGTTTAAAGAGTGACATAGAAAATAATATACTATTTCAAGAGTAATACACACATTAATAGTATATTTACAGTGCCGTATCCTAAACTCTAAGGCTTCAGTGAGAAAACAAATTGAAGGGCCCCTAATTTAAAGATGTTATAAAAAAAATCACAAGTATATAACTATAATAACTCTATAGTTACAAAATAATGGAGTACAAAGTACAATAAAATTAATAATATATTATTATGTAAAGAATAAAGCCAACCTTCAATATAAAAATGAAAAGTAAAATGTTAATATGTTCTATATTAGGAAATATTTAGCTTCGATGCGAAGCTGAGAAGGTATTAATTATACTATGATGTGGTTTTTAAAATTTTTTTTTTTGTGTCTGGTATCAATCTCAGCTCTTATTTTTATGAACATTACGTCAAAAGATCATAAATTGTATCTAGTTGAAGATATTACCCTCAAAAATTGAAAAAATTATCTTCTTCCTCGTAAATGGAAAAATCCACCAAGAAGTTACTATTTTAAAATTCGGTATATTTCGACATTTTTTAATTTTTTTTTTCTTAACACTACCATAACTTTTTTAAAAATGACCGAATCAATATAATTTTTTTTTATAGATACCATAAGTATTTACCTATCATTTGCTATATTTTTGTGAACATTTGACCCTTTACCAGCCCTCAGGAAGGGTATTAAAATGGCAAATTTTTTACAAAAAATTAACTTTTTCAACTTAACTTTTGAAAATGTTCTTGAAAAGCTGACACTTTTATGTATACCTTAAATTAAAGCTTATGTAATATACTTAAACTTGAAAAAAAAAAATTAGCCTCTGGATTTGTCTTTATGGTGAAAATGACTACCGTATTTAAAAATATGCTATTTTTTTGTTAAAATTCTAGGATCTGTATTTTATTTTATTTTAAAATACTTGACAAGGGGAGTACACTGATTTTCATAAATATTTAATAAATTAAATTGATATAGCATAGAAAGTTAAACTTATTTAATTTTTTACTTTTTTTAAGTAGAGAAAAATAACTTTGAATTTCGAACTAGCTTAAATTTTTTTCAGTCGTTGGAAGGTTACCGAGTCGATAACACTTGTGTCTTATACGCTTGGGGTACAAGGTTCCAACCTGTGTATGACAAGGAATTTTTTGCAATTTTTTCTTAATTCTTTTTAAGTTAGAATAAATTTTCAACTCATTTGATTTTTTCTCATTTATATTCAATAACTTCAATAAAGGTCAGGAATGCCATCACTGTAGTCACCCCTCGCGAGAAGAAAATTTCTTAACTATTAAGGGAATAAAAGTTATTATTGATTTTGAAATAATCTACCAATTTCTTAAAATTAAACACTATCTACAGATTTGCATCGAAGCGTTTCTTATGAAAGTGATTGTAATCACTGTCAAATATAATCTAATATCCACGTCTATACTGTACCGCGACCCCACTGTGATATTTTACTTACTATAGGGTAATAAATCCTTGAACTCATTTCCTATAAAATATAAATTAAAATATATTATATAATTTTTTATTCAAAGACATCATTTCAGATCATTTTGAACTGACACAACTATTGACTGGTCAATCATTTAATAAAGCCGTTCGCTCCAGTCGTTATTAATAATCTATGGCTATAGATAATTACTATCTATAATGATTTAAGTAGTTAACTTAACTACATTTGTTATAAATTTAAACGAACATTATATAGATTAAAAACAAAATTTGATTCAATCAAGTTATAACTGATTACAAAAAAAAGTTAACTAGGCTATTTAAAATTATTGTCATCCATGTGATTCTAAAATTATGTTTATAAGATTATCATTGTATACTCTTTAAAAATTATTGAGAAAAAAACTTTTTTAACTAAATACATTTTTATTTATATGACTAAATTATAAATTTTATTAATCTGATTTGGCCTGGTTATTTATGAATATGTATTAAACTATCTCAATATCTACTATAAAATTAGACTTCAGTAAAGTTGAGCCTCTCACTTTAAATGACATACTTTTTCGTCATACAAAAATTCATGTTCATAAAGCTACCAGTAGCACAATCATTTAACATTTTTACCACTTTTAAGTTCTAGGTGATTAAGTATTTTCAAATATTAAGGTTATGTAAAAATATAATATATATTATAACGTAATATTTATTGTAAATAAATGATAATGCTTAATTTTACAAACCTTCTCTTGTAAATTCTATCATTTGAGCTCGGCAATATGGACATACAGGAATTTCACCATAATTTTTTTGAGATTTTTTTCGAATATTTAGAGCACAATTGTCACATAATTTGTGACCACAATTTGTAATAATTATAGTATTATTATTTACCATGCAAATAGTACATTTATCATTATCGTCTAAAAAAATATGATTTTCATTACAGAGAATATTAATAAAAAATGATATCTATGTTTATTTGTAACTTAGAACCAACACATAACAGAAGAACTTTTGCGCTATCGAGAGATATCAAACATCTCACGAACTTTAAGGTCAACTTTAATTTCAAGGTAAAATATTTTCTTGGTTACACTCTTAGCTGTGTGTTACCTAATTTTTTTTTTTTTGATATTAGCATTATAACCATTTAAGCTCTTTGCTACAAATACTAAATTTTTCCACTCCTCTCTATTATACGCATGATTTAAGTCCCTATGTCAATCTGGTTTCAACTATTGCAGATCTTTTTTGACTACATCTAGCCACCGTTGCTTTGGTTTACCATGAGGTCTTTTCCTGTTCAAATTTTTCACAAATATCTTCTTGACAATACTGTTGTTGGCTCTCTAGACATGTTCTACCCATTCTAGTCTTGCACCTTTAACAAATTGTACTATACTTCCTTTTCCATATAATTGTTGTTCATTTTGTTCTTTTCTCTTACATTTGAATATCAGGGTTATAAACGGTACCTAATCTATTTTAATTGCCTGCTTTTGTTGCCCAGGTACAACATAACCTCAGTTTTCCAGCTTTTAGACGGAGTTTAATTTCATTATGCATACATTTTCTAGTATTTGTGTTGACGGCTGATGTGAGCGTAGATGTTGTGGGTAATCGTGTTAAGTGGAAGTTTAGAATAAGGGTGGCCGACCCCAAGTAGTTGAGATTAAGGCGAGGAAAAAGAATAAGAACAAATAGCGGATGTTCTCCATTCGAAAAAGATTTCTTCTTTATGCATATTCTATATAAAAGATTAAATATCTCCTCAGTTAGCCTAAGGGCAAATTCAGTCTTCCCCTACTGCCTTATTATTTTTTAGCGATTTAATGATCAATTCTGATCTACTTGGTTACATTTCTTCGTTCTCTAAAGCTCTAAAAACCTGTATGCGGTTATATCTATATCTTTCCAACTTTTCAATATTTTCTTTTCCATTTTCCTTTTTGCTTGTCTTATCACTTTATGTGCTTCTTTTCTCCTTTTTTATATATCTCCATATTTAACTGAGTTGGGAATTGGATCACTTGCAATCTAGCATTATTGAGTAGTTCAATGACTTCTGCAAACTTTTGTTTGAACCAGTGCTTTGCTTTTGATCTATTATATATTGTTTAATTACACTATCCGCTACCCCTAGAACTGAGTTTTTAATTATTTTCCACGCAGTTTGTATTTTTGGTTCCTCTTCTGATCTAGCCGCATGTAGGTTTATATATCGTCTCTCGACCCACTTTAGAGTTAAAGTATCTTAATATGATTTTTATACAGTGTCTTGATAGACCACTATACACTCTTTCTAATTTGTCATAGAATATATCCTTTAAGTCTTTTTCATCCATTTCTGTAAGTGAGTATTCAAATATCAATATAATTTCATATTGTTTACCGGGCATATGAATATGACAGATTTGATCATTTAATGGAGTAAATTTCTTTATCGAAGGTAAGAGTTGATCATTTACTAAGAAACCTCTCGTGCTTCTCAATTGTCATGCTTGCCATTAGATGCTCCACTGTAAAATGTCATTACATTAGCTCTGACGTTTCCTTCCCTCCGCCACCTGACCTCCAGCAGTATCGCTATTTGAACGTTCTTGTATTTCTTCACCACGTCATTTATGGACTTAACATCAGATTAATTTATATACTGAGTACACGGTTTATAAATTGATCTGATGTTCCGAGTGCTAATCCTGTTAGTTTGGTTCTTGCCGTTTTCGAGTTGTATCCAAAATCTAAGTCCAAGACAAGAACTATATTGGTTTCTTAACATTGGATATTATCACAAAGACGGGTTTTTAGCCCTCTGCTCAACTCCCAACCTGGAGGGTCAATCCACACCAAAGTAATTTAAGTCAGTGTGGGGCTCGGGGCCCCTGGTTCGCCATACCCGTAACACTGTGAAGTATTTCCTCATAGGAAGTATGTTACATAATGTGATAACGAAATTAAAAAAATAAGACTGATTGAATCACACGATATACCAACGTATAAAACTTAAATATTATAGAAGGTTTTTGTATAGGCTAGCACACTCAATAATTATTGCTGAACCTACTCAGCAATGTTTTATCATTCAACTTAACCAAACAGCCATATACAACCAAAATAATAAATAAATAAATCCTCATGTTAGTCTTAGTGAAGCTTCATATGGATTTTCTTATACTAAAAAAAGGTTTAATGCAGAGAGTAACAGATCTTTTAATGAAATTCATTTTACACTGATGTTACTATACATGAGGGTTAGAAATCATTTTCATAACTTCTAAAAAACGACCTAATCCTAAAACGTAAAAAAAATGTTTAAAATTTAACAAAATAAAACAATATCAAAACATTAAACAAAATTAAACGACATATAACGAAATTAAACCTTAATCATAACTAAAAACGAAATAAAACAAAACTAAACAGAAAACGAAAACATATTTGTGATTCGTTATAACAAATTCACTTTATTTCATTACAAAAACTATATAGGTATTTTTCACATGCGAGCAATGACGAGTTATTCCTAATGAAATAAAAAAAAAGATGAATAACGTTCCATTTACATACATTTATACACATACAATTATTCGAAAATTAAATCATACTTTTAAATCATGAAAACACTTAAAAACTGTGATAAAACCAAATAATAAATATCGGTAATCCAACTGCAATCAAAATTAAATAGTTTTTTATATTTTTAGTTAAATGACTCCATAATAGTTTTCTTAAAAAGATTATTCAACTATTTGTATTTTTATTTTAATACTCGGCTAAGAACTAAAATATAAAAATGAAATATATCAGTGTTAAAATAAAAATCTGACCTTTATCGTTTGGTTCCGAATCTACAATCTGAGCACTAAATCCTAAACATTCAATAAATATGTTAGGTTTTTGAACGTGTGAAAATATATGAAGCGAAATTATTTACATAGTTAAGGTAACAACTTAATTCAACATAATGATATGCAATAAATTATTGAATATAAACTCTAAAAATATAGCTCATAATATGACCTGTGTTTATATTATACCGTACTATGATATTTAACACACAATTTGTATAAGTTGGCTATTGATTTATTTAATATTTTAAGTCTACAATTAATTTTTTTTTATGTCTAAATTATATTCTATTCATATTTCATAATTTAGGAGTCGAGTATTGCGCACAACACATAAGTAATTTGCAGTTACTAACTGTTTTTTTTAAATATACAAAAATAACAATAATATAAGTGGTAATATTAAATATTAATGTATAAAAATTATATCAATCCAATATTTTATTAGAACTAATAACCTTTAATTGCATTATTATGAAACATAAAATACAATTATTGCTTTAATTTAGTGTAAAATTAAAAAAATTGAATTAAACAATATTTTTTCAGTATTACATTAAAATATTTTTAATTCTTATTAAAACTTTATCATCTTAATTAACTTCGATTAGTTAATTCAATATTGCACTCATATCTAAAATTTGATTTTTGCATTGTAAATTTATTAATAAAGTAATGGAAGAAAATTAAATTTNTGTAAATTTATTAATAAAGTAATGGAAGAAAATTAAATTTTATTTAAATAATTATAAAATAGTATAAATAATATAAAACTGAAAAAATAAATATATTAAATCATAAAAAAATACACGAAAGCTATAGCGCAATCATAAAAGAGTCACTATAATATATTATCTATATCTCTTCTGTTGAGCTTATTAAGAGGAGGTAGTATGTCTAAGTAATATTTCGGGTTATAGGTTAATATACAGACCAATTTTTTTTAAGCCAACCAGCAACAAAGATATTAATGTTTATTACATAATTTTTGATCCGTCATAGAGTATATATTGAATCTTAAAAGTGATTAACATCATAAAATGCTTCAATGCGATTATACATAATGAAAGATTTTAAAAAAAATTTTACACTTCTAACTTCGGCTGCCAGTTACTTAAAGTAAAATGGTCTGAATATTTTTTTTATTTGAAGATTAAATTAAATTTAATATAAGTAAAAAAGACGCAGCAAATCCAAAATATTGTTAAAAATTAAAAAAAAATTGTTATATGTTTTTTTAAATCTTATTATATAATAGAATAAAGAAAAAAAAACGGTAGCACAGTGGGGTCGAGGCACAGTGTGGACGAGGCATAGATGGGACAAGTATAGATGATATCTGACAGTGATTAAAATCACTATCATAAGAAACGCTTCGATGCAAATCTGTAGATAGTGTTTCCTTTAGAGAAATTGGTGAAATATTTTAAAAGCAACATGAACTCTTATTTCTTTAATTATATCCTGATTAGTAGTTCTTTGATTTTAAAATATAATATATGAATAAATACTAATTATAGTTTTTAAATTTAGTATGAAATTGTGAGGCCAGCTATGATGTATGGTTCATAGTGTTGGGCGGTTGATAAGAAAGTAGAGCAGAGAATAAGTGTAGCAGAGATGAGAATGCTTAGTTGGATGAGTGGAGTGACTAGAGAAGATAGGATAAGGAACGAGCATATAAGAGGAAGTATAGGTGTTGCGTCAATCGTGGATAAGATGACAGAAAATAGACTTAGATTGTTTAGTCATGGTATGAGGAAAGAAGAATCGAAAGCTGTAAGAACAGTTATAGAAATGAATGTTGAAGGAAGAAGAGATAGAGGAAGACCAAAAAAGAGATGGAGGGATGCTATTGAATGCGATTTGAGGACAGCTGATGTGAGCGTAGAAGATGTGGGAGATCGTGTCAAGTGGAAGCTTAGGATAAGGGTGGCCGACCCCAAGTAGTTGGGATTAAGGCAAAGAAAAAGAAAAATATTACCAGATATTCCGGTGGCAATTGACATAATATGATTGTTATTTCGGAATGTACAATTTAGCGTTTAGTTGGGTTTAAATAATATAGCGTCAAATCAATTACCTACTCTATCGGTTGTATCTCAATATACACTACACTTTAATGATACAATAAATAAATAAACTCACACATACACACATATGCATTTATAACATTGTGTCTAATGTAAGTATAACATGATAAAAAGTAACCGTAAAATGAAAAAAATGGAATATAAATTTTATTACTCATATTAAATGTAATGTAACTCGAAAAATATTTGTTTAAATGAAAAAATATAAGATTATATTTTTATTTATAATTGTCTTTTAAACAACTTTTGTGCGAAACTTTTTTTTGTAAGTTAAATATTTTTTTTTGAGAAAATTAAGAAAGCTCATATTTTTGAACTTTTGCGAGGATTTAAAAAAAAAGCTCAATTCCAATCTTGAGGACTATTAGTATGTCATTATACATATTTTAATTCAACTTTTAAAAAAACAAAATTTTTTCCGCAATTTTTCCTTTGTTGACAGGCCTAGATGTCAATTTTAAACTTGTAATTGAGCTAAAAGTTATGGTAATATATTCAATTTATTTTACTATAAACTTTCATAAATCTTTATCAAAAATTTTTCATCAACTTTAAAGAACCAAAAAAATAGGTTAAAATTGAAAATTTGGACTGATTATTTTTAACATATTAAAAATCAAATCAGTAATAATTTGAAAACAAATTTTTTTTTCTTTTAATTATTATTTTATATATATAATTAGTAATAATATAAAAAATTAGAAGTGATAGAAATAGTCTACTTGCAGATTTGAAAACAACGCGAAAATTTGATTTAGAAAAGTATATTTTTGCTTCTGATGAAAGTTCCTTGTAGTCCAGTGCATTTTTTTATAGTAACAAACAGTTTTTATTGAAAATTATTGTATCAAGCCCTTTAAATTTTTATACACGTAAAAGTAAAGCAAAATATAACTTCTTTATTATTTTTATAATTTCTCCGTTTAAATTACAATATTAAATATCAATTTCATACTAAATTTAATAATTATAATTAGTATATATTCATATATTATATTTTAAAATCAAAGAACTACTAATCATGATATAATTAAAGAAATAAGAGTTGATGTTGCTTTTGGAATAATCCACCAATTGCCTAATTAAAACAAAAAAAAAAAAAGTTTGTTGGGAATTTTTTCTGCTATTCTGCAAAATTACTCCTTCGTTGACTAGAATGAATCATTAAATAGAAAATTTTATGAGAATTAAAACAATGTTATTTTTAAGATTAATATGCAGTCAGAAAGTTTTATAATTATTATTTATTGTAAATTTATCAGAAAAACTCATTATTTTTTGCATTTTTATCGTAATAGAACACTTAAATAGAAATCATAGTAATCATTTCTAAGTAATTTTTGATATTTAAAAAGATTCTACTATTGAAATATCCAGAACTGAATTAATTTTAATGATTTACTTTAACTAAAAAAAAAAAAGTTAATATTTTGAATCCCTCTTGTGGGCAGGTAAAGGGTTAGATTTATAAAAAAAACCAAATGATAGATAAAGACATGCATCTAAATAAAAAAAAATATACTGATTTGGTCATTTTTGATAAAGTTATAACAATTAACAAAGTTATAAGTTTTATACACTGGACTACAAGGAACTTCCATCAGAAACAAAAATATACTATTCTAAATCAACTTTTCGCGATGTTTTAAAATGTGCAATTAGACTTTTTCTATAACTTCTAAGTTTTAATATTATTAAAAAATAGTTTTTACATATAAAAAAAAATAATTAAGAACAAAAAAAATTGTTTTAAATTAATACTGATTTGATATAATATTTAATATTAATTTGATTATTAATAAGTTAAAAATAAGGAAAATGACATATTTAACCTATTTTGTTAATCGTTTAAAGTTGATTGTTGTAAATGTTTATAATAAAAAAAAAAAATTTATTTTACCATAACTTTTAGCTCAATTGGTAAGTTTGACATTGACATAATTAAATAGAAAATTTTATGACAATTAAAAAAATTGTATCGTTAAGATCAATATGCAGTCAGAAAGTTTTATAATTACTATTTATTGTAAATTTATCAGAAAAGCTCAATATTTTTTTGCATTTTTATGGTAATAGATAACTTAAATAGAAGTAATAGTAATAATTTCCTAGGAACTTTTGTTGTTTGTTGAAAAGATTCTATAATTGAAATATTGAGAACTTAATTAATTTTAATGATTTACTTTAACTAAATGTACCAATCAAAACAAAGTTGTTAAAAAGATTTACTCAATTGAGTGTATTATAAAATTTGATTATATTTGTAAAAATCAATTGTTAATTCAGGAGAAAAAACAATCATTTTTTTTAGAAATGATTTATATAGCAACATGTTACAAAAAAAAATTGTAATATTATAGTCTAGTAGTAGCACACACAAATAGAGTAAAAAAATTATTAAATTACAAAGTAAAATGATTTAATTTTGTAGTTGAAACCTATCATATCAAACTTCATTCGTTAATAAATATTTTGAAAACATTAGAAATTAATGATTTTAATTGTCTTTATGGAGACGATGTAATAACTAACTGTTTAATTGATAAATTAGAATTTTTTTTTCAATTTTTGAGAGTAATATCTTCAACTAGATACGAATTGTAGTAATTTGACGTATTGTTGAAAAAAGTAGGTCAAGTTAGAGCAGAGAAAATAAATGATAGTCACAAAAAAATATCTTCTCGGCTTTGCATCGAAGCGAAAACTTAAAATATAGTAAAATAATTTTAATACGAATAAGAAATTTCTTCTTGCAAGGGGCGACTAAAGTGATGGGATCCTTGATCTTTATTGAAGTTATTGAATCTAAATGTGATAAAAATCAAACGAGTTAAAATTTATACTAACTTAAAAAGAATTAAGAAAAAATGCAAAAAATTCATTGCCATATGCGGGTTGGAACCTCGTACCCCAAGCGTGTAAAACATAAATTTTACCAACTCGGCAACCGTACGTTGCTTCCGGCGGTTGAAAAATTGGCTATTTAAGCTAGTTCAAATTTCAAAGTTATTTTTCTCGACTTAAAAGAAACAAACATATTTAAATAAGTTTAACTATCTATACTATATCAATTTTAATTTATATAATATTTATGAAAATCTGTACTCCCCTTGTCAGGTATTTTAAAATAAAATAAAATACAAAACCCAGAATTTTAACACAAAAATAGCATATTTTTGCATACGGTAGTCATTTTTACCATGAAGACAAATCCAGAGGTCAAATTTTTTTTTTTCACATTAAAGTATATTACATAAGCTTTAATTTAAGATATATTTAAAAGTGTCAGTATTTCCGGAATACTTTCAAAAATTAAATTGAAAATATCGTAGTAACAATACGCATGTTTAAAGTTTTGACCCCCCTTGTTAAAGGGGTATGATCCGATTTACAAAAAAAGCGTGCCAGATGAAAGGGGTATATCAATATTTATTATAAAAAAATAATAATATAGATCCATACATTTTTCCAAAAGTTATATAAAATATAAATTAAATAATATAACATATAAAATCGAGATTTTTTTCACGGAAATCGTACGTTTTTCTTTAACTTTGATGTCCGTTTTCACCACGAAGACAAGTCCAGAGGTCAAATTTTTTTTTTTCAAATTAAAGTATATTACATAAGCTTTAATTTAAGATATATATAAAAGTGTCAGTCTTTCCGGAACATTTTCAAAAGTTAAGTTGAAAAAGTTCTACTTTCTATACGCATTTTAAAAGGTTTGCACCCCCCCTGTATAAAGGGAAATGGTCCGATTTTAAAAAAAAGTATGTCGAATGAAAGAAGTATATATAAAGTATTTATCATTAAAGAATAAAGTTGATTCATGCATTTTTTAAAAAGTTATAGCAACATAATGTTAAAAAATGTAAAATATAATATCAAGAATTTTTTCACAAAAATAGCATATTTTTGCATACGGTAGTCATTTTCACCATGAAGACAAGTCCAGAGGTCAAATTTTTTTTTTTCAAATTAAAGTATATTACATTAGCTTTAATTTAAGGTATATATAAAATTGTCAGTCTTTCCGGAACATTTTCAAAAGTTAAGTTGAAAAAGTTAATTTTTTGTAAAAAAGTTACCATTTTGAAACCCCATCCTTTGGGCTGTTAAAGGGTCAAATGTTCACAAAAATATATAAAATGATAGGTAATTATCTAAGGTATCTATAAAAAAAAAAATTATATTGATTCAATCATTTTTAAAAAAGTTATGGCAATTTTAATTAAAAAAAATTGAAAAAATATCGAAAATTAGCGATTTTTAAATTTGTAATTTTTTGGGGGATTTCCCCCGTTTACGGGGAACGAGGGAATTTTTTTCAATTTTTGAGGGTAATGTCTTCGACTAGATACGATTTGTGATCTTTTGACATATTGTTCATCAAAATCGGTCCAGCGAGAGCTGAGATTGAGCGTTCACAGACACAAAAAAAAAAATAAAAAAAAAAAATAATAAAAAAAAAAAAAAAAAAAAAACACATCATAGTAAAATTAATACCTTCTCAGCTTCGCATCGAAGCTAAAAAATAAAAAAATAAAAAAACACATCATAGTAAAATTAATACCTTCTCAGCTTCGCATCGAAGCTAAAAAATAAAAAAAAAAAAAAACACATCATAGTAAAATTAATACCTTCTCAGCTTCGCATCGAAGCTAAAAAATAAATAAAAAAAAAAACACATCATAGTAAAATTAATACCTTCTCAGCTTCGCATCGAAGCTAAAAAATAAAAAAATAAAAAAACACATCATAGTAAAATTAATACCTTCTCAGCTTCGCATCGAAGCTAAAAAGATTTTCTGAGAAAATTACTTAACATGCTACGATTTTCAATTGTTTATTTAACAAAAGTACTCGGTCAAGCGTCTTGAGGGAAATTATTTACAATACTTTAACCGTTCACCATGAGCGTTTTGAAATGTTGACTGTATTTAAAAAAAAACGCTTACTGACGCCGTTGTTTGCGACTTATTTACTACATTTTTTACCAGACCCATCCGAAGAAATTTCTGAGATAGTATGAAAAAAAAATTCCATCTGTTCACTGGGATTTCAAATAAATATTTGTCTTAATTTAAGTTATTTTCAAAAACTTTGTCACAAACAATACTTTATTTTTTTAAATTCGAGAAAATAATCTTACACCTAATATTAATTTTCAGTCGTTCTTTCCTATTTAAGTATAAAATTGAAACTAATTATATCAAAATTGAACAATTTTTATTTGTTAGGATATTCCTTTTTATCATTGGGATTGAAAGGAATTTTTTCAAATTTCGGCACTGATAGCAACTTGATACGATTTGTGATGTTTTTATATATCGGTGAGATAAATTGTCTAGGTGAAGCCATGTTGACAGTCACAAGAATAAAAAACAGGGAACATAGCTAAGCATCGAAGCTAAAATATTAATTATTCTGAAAAAAAAAATTGAGTTTTTATATACTCTGCATTAAATAAAGCATACGTACTTTTTTTTATATAATTCAATAAAATTATATTATTACCTTTAATTAAAATCAAATAAATAATTGAATGTAATTTTAACTGAATCATTTTGTTAAAATTGTTTACTGAATAAAATAAGTGTATCCCCCAAAAATTGTTTTAGATAATGAAAAAAAGACACTATGGAGCATATAAATTTTCTTCTCGATTATTTAAAAACAGAATAATAGGAATTAACATCATTTTTATTATATTAATATCTTCAGACTGTTTTTAATTATTTACAAAGCTGGTGTATTTTGTGCAACATTTAGTTGATTTTAAACTACATTGTAAATCAAATACAGCTGTATCATATTTTATATTTTTAAAAATTATATTTAATATGGTTTACCGATTGAAGTATGTAATAATTAAGCTATTTTATTTTTTTGATAAGTGAATAAGTTATAAGCAATTGAGTAGTCAAAGATGCATAATAGAGTTTGTCAAATCTTAACGCTTTGTCGTCGAGTTCTAATTTATAAAATGATTGAGTAAAATGACACTAATTTTTCTTAATACTTGAGCTTGAAATCTTTGTTTTACTTTCCTTTTTTTTATGTTGAAATAAAATTTCGACAATTCGTTTATAATGTGTCATTGATTAACACACCAAAATTAAAAAAAAAAAAAAGCTAATCTTTTATTTATTTTTATATTTTTATAAAATATTAAAATATTAAAGACATCTTTATTTTGACATACTTCATTTGTGATATATCTTCTTACTTTTTTAAAGTCTGTAGAATTAATGACGACATCTTATTTAGTCTTGTAAACACTATCTTGAAACATTGCCGAAAATGAAATACATGTACATAAATATGTGATAGTATTTCAAAATTTCAAATAATGAATTTAATTATGTAAGCTCAAAGTTTAAAGATTTAAAATTATTCAATAAATATTTCCATAATGTTATAAATATCCTTTATTTATTGTCATAATATAAAAGAAACATTAAAAATAGTAAAGATTTTTTAAATATTACCATACCATTTTCCTATATATAGATTACTATCTATAAATTTGGGATCGGTTGACCAAATAAACTGTTTATTTTTAAAATTATATATCGTTCTTTCATCACAATTATTGGATTAAATGAACTAATAAAAAAAACGTAAGATCAAACGCTTTGATAATTAATAATCAAATGATCTATCAATTTTATTTGTAAGAAATTTATACAACAATTTTTTTTGGATATATTCAATTAATTTATTTATTTACGGTGGAATTCTAACAGTTGCATAAAAATAACAAAAGTGTAATGTAATTCTATTCCCACTGTACTAATATGCCTGTTTCTATTTTTTCTTCCGTCCATGAAAGAAGTTGGTTTTCTCCATCCTCAGAATCTTTATAAAACAAGGGAAAATCACTTTTTATATAGTTCGCTCTTGAAGAATCACTGTCATTATAAGAACTAAGAACGCAATAACCTTTTCGACATATCGGATCAAAAATGAAGCCATTAACTCTGGAATCAGTATTACTGATTAAAGCAATAAAAATACATTTTCTATCATCATTTCCATCTGACTTACAAAGATCTTTCTCACCTAAAATATCAAAACAGATATAAATAAAATAATACCATTCAATATGATTTTTTATTTCCAATTTTTTATTAAAGTATAAAGGGTATAGTTTTATAGTCAATCGAACAAAATTTAAAATGCCTGATCTAATGTCGAAATCTGAGAACCAAAAGGTAAAGAAATTATTTTTTCCAAAAATATTTTCATTTTTATTCTTAATAATTATTCAATTCTATATTACTTTTTTATTGAAAATGATAGAATTTAAATTATTTATTAATTTATAAACAAAAACAATAATAATATAAATTTTATAACTTTTTTGTAGATATGAAAATAAACATGCATAAATACATATTATTAAAATAAAAGTATTATAAAATAATTAATTTAATTAGCAAAAGACTAAGTATTTCAAAAAAATAAAGGTGATTCATTAAAAATGATACTTTTTAAATTTTTTGTTGAAAAATTATTAAACATCTTTTTTTCAATAATCTTTTTCATAAAAATAAATCTACCTATATATTTCTATTTCACGTCAATAGAATAAAGTTTTTTTAAACATTCTCTAAAGAAAAAATTGGTATAAATATTCATACAACTATTCTAAGTTTTGTAATTTTTACACAAAAGTCATACATTTTTCTCTGTTTTAGATGCCAATTTATTATCAGATTATATCAGAAGATAAGTCTAGAAGTTAATATTTTTTTTCAAAGTAAATTATGTTGTATAAGATTTAATTTAAGTTATATTTAAAAAATGCATAGTTTTTGTAATATTTCGAAAAATTAAAAAAAGAAAAGTCAATTTCTTATGCAAAAGTTGCTACTTCAAAATATATTTAATATATTCTGTGTCGGGCATGGGGTGAGATCTTCAAAAAACATATACCTATTAGTAGTTCCAAAAAGTTATTTCCAAAAAGTAAAAAATATATTGAACTTTCCAAGTTTTAAAAATTGTACTTTTTTAAAATTTCCCTTGATTACTAGGCCGAGAAATTTTTTTTGAAATATTGAGGGAAATGTCTTCAAATGAATAAAACTTGTAGAGTGTTATTAATCAAAATCTTTCTGCTATACCTTTAAATTATTATAAATCTAAAAGTAGTATTATAAAACTGGTTATTGACTAGTCAACATTTTATTTAATCTATTCTCCATATAATAGTATACAAATATTTTTAGGTTTCCATTTAACTTCCAAAATTCACCCCTATAAAAAGTACTCTTAGAAATATTTTTGTTTAAAATAAACTTATCAATTATAATTAATTTTATTAAGATTTATTAAGAACGATTTTTAAGAAATTACTGAAGTGATTTCTTAGTTTGATATTTATACAAATCGTTAAACTCACGCAAAACTTTATCATAGTAATGAATAAATATTTTTCTCATAATATTTCTTCTTTCTTGTACAATATTATTATATGTTTCTGTATCTAAAAATATTTTCAAAGTATTTATCATTTTTTGTTTACAGACTAATATGAACATATGAAGTTAGAATTCAATATTTTTACTAAATAAAACGTTTAATCTTAATAAATTTAAACGTTAGTCGTTCCCTATAATGAGTTGATAAAATGTTGAGAAGAATATATAGTTTAATTATTGTCAATCTAACATTTTTCATTACATATGTGTTGTGCTAAGATATTCCTTTTTGGTTGTTCAATTGATTTAATTTTTTTAAAGTCGATTCACTTCGTTTTTCGCAGTACCTTTTTTTATTTAACCAATAATATTTATTGATTAAGTTATCTATAATATTATCCTTAATATTATAAATACATAAAAATTTTATTTGTTATTTATATTTTAACAACATAAACCAATATTTTTTAAGTAATAAAAAACTTTAGTATATAAAATGTTTACCTTTAAATTTATATTCATCTAAATTAAATAATTATTTTATTGAATAAATTATAGTTAATATAGATACTTCAACAATAATACATGAAATTAAAAACTATTTCATTTTGAATTTTTATTTTAATTTATTCACCTTGCTTTATACTTAAAGTACTATGAAGTATAAGATGATTGATGTTTTCTTCTTGTATAATAGCTCTTTTGAAATACACTTCAACAACTAAAAAATTGTATATATAAAATAAAATTTTATAATACTATAATTATTTAATATTTATAAGCACTCTCTAAGGAGAAATTAATTTTCTTCCCTATATACAATAATATAAATAAATTTTGAAAGAATCCCCTCGGTTTTCATATAATATTCCCACATCTAATTTTTTAAGTACAGTAATCAGACTATCTTTCTTGAGTTAATGCAATACGATTTGGTAGCTCAAATAAGATTAATCTTTGGTGTTGAAAAACAGCCAGAAATCAAAAGAAAGATTTTAAAAAAAAACAAACTCAATGGATAGTCAAGTACATTTAAAACGCTCCGATTATTTACACGATCAAGAATTAGTAAAATTTTACTGATGCTTTTGTACAGCCGATTTTCTTGTATTTTCGCTCTCCAAATTTTTCAAAATTATTTTTTAAATAACATTGATGAGTGAAAAAGAACAGCCTTGCATGTTCTACAGTTTTTAAATTATACGTAACTCTTTTTCAGGTATCTTTATGGGTTTCTAAGAAGTGCACGATGAAAATTAGATTTATGTANTAAGAAGTGCACGATGAAAATTAGATTTATGTAGATTGCTAAAAGAATGATTTTCACAGTCTATATTTCCCCTTTTCATAATACTAAAATATATTTTTGAACAATATTTCTATCCCATATAACGTGTGTATAAAATTTACATTTTGAAAGAAAAAATGTGTAGTAATTATGTAAATAAAACCTCAAAGAAAAATTTTCTCACACTTAAATATATTTTTATAAATTAAATTAATTATATAAGGTTGTT